CCTCAAAAACAGGACAATATGGGCTTTCTTGGTTGCTTTCGGAACAGATACTCATAGAAAACTGTTTGTAGTCACCATCCAAGTCCATAGAATGAGAACTAGACTTGAATGAGTACGCTCTCAGAGTTCTTCTAGGTGGTTGTAAAGGATAAAGGACGGGATCCTTTGAATTCTCAACTTGTAGAAATGGATCTTTCAGAAGCTCCTCTGCTGACAATCTCTCAGATGCTGGAACCAAACATTTCTCAATAAACTCCCTAATTTGAGGATCACTCACCTTATTAAGAGAAGCAGGTTTGATGCCCTGCAATGACATGCATCACAATACAGCAAGTTAAATTGTTTGCGTTATAAGTTAAAGTGGTAAGAATATGCCAATAATTTATTTACTCACTGAGGTAACTTTCTTAAAGATTTGAGCTGGATTTTTGCATTCGGCATAGGGATACTCAAAAGTGACCATCTCCAATATGCACATCCCAAAAGAATAGATGTCAACCAGTTCTGTGTATGACTCTTCATATAGTTCTGGAGCCATAAACTCAGGAGTTCCTTTTGTAAAATAGAGAAACAACAAACACAAGCATAGCTCAGTGCCATTGGAACCAATATGATAAAAACATCACAATTCAGGAAGTAATATGTTACCAATAACACTTCGGGCGGTAGGTTGTTGCATGACAATTGCCAAACCAAGATCCCCTATCTTAACTTCACCCTGGTTTCCATTCACAAAGATGTTGTCACATTTCAAGTCTCTATGAATAATGGGTGGCTTGTGACTATGAAGATATAGTAAGCCATGAAGAATCTGCCTGGCCCAACCTTTTATAGCTTTCATTTCAACATATTTATGCTTCTTGCGATATCTGTCAGCCAAAGGTGTACAAAAATTTCATATGTGCATGTTACAACCAAATAATATAAAGGAAAGGGGACAAAAATCAGGAGAACCTACTGCCTTAAATTTCCAGATGTGAACAGTTCAGTAATCATGTTAACAGTTTTCTCCTTATCATCAATCCAAGAATCACAGAACTTAATGATATTGTCATGTTTCAAAGACTTCAAAAGATTAACTTCAGAATACAATTTCGCAAGATCATCTACTGAATGCAAGAGGCCATCAATCTTAACTTGATTCCAAGCAACTTCAATTCCATCAACTTCATCAAAGGCCCTATAACTGGAAAAGGGAAAGAGATTAAATAGCATGCTTTCACGAGTAAAAAATGCCATAAAAATAAAAAATGTTATTGAATAATAAATTTCCTGGAGAAATAATTCATAGCAAGTAAAATTCTCAAATAAACCTAGAACACTAGAAAGAAAATACGAAATATTAGAGATAACAGAGAATTATATATAGAAAGAAAAATAGAAGAGAGAAGGATTAGGCATTAAATCTTACACAGTTTTGAAGGCACCCCTTCCCAAGACTTCAGTATACTGAGACAAAAACAAAAGAGAGAAAAAAAATCAAACTAATAGCAAATATAATGAACAAAGTGAATCGTAGAAATGAAGTAAACAAATCCCCTTGAACAATGTGGGTATATTGTATTAAGTGCCCCTAGCTGTGCTTCACAGAAAGCAATTTTTTTCATAAAGAGGATTATTTGTAGTATTGAATCTTAAGTATGAGATAGGTTTTACACTTCTGCATTACAAAGTAAAAGTGGAACTTAATTTGTGAAACTCTCTTTCACAGCTGATAAAGGTGATTCATTACAGATACATCATTAATAAATAAAATACCAGATACCAAACAGCCAATTTAAACCGTTTCTCTAATGATAACACACTTGCAAGCCTCACAAAAGTGTTCCTAATTCAAAAGGACGGAGATGAGGCTTTTTCCGCATGATACACCATCTCTACCATATAGTCATTTCTTCAACTTATATACCTTGCATTTCAAGTTTATCATCCAGGCAAACGAGAAAAACGAGGCTAATCAATTTCAAATCACTATTGCTTAAAAACAATCCCTCTGGCTCAACGACCATATTTTCACCACCAACACAAGTAATTCAAACTTACCCGCCAAAGCCATAAAAAACACACCACAACAGTTCACACGCAATTATTAAACTTTAGAAGAACCACCGAAGTTGACTAAAAATGAATCCAAAAAACATATAAATGAATAATTGGTGAAGGTGCTTGTGAGACTCGAGTCATAATACCCTTGTATACCGCCCGGTTGGATCTTTCTCCGCAAACTCGTCCTCAAAATCCTGAGGCTCCCTGGTCCCGAACGCATTGCACACGGGAGGCAGTGTCAAGACAGCACCAGAATTCATTCTAGTGGCTGAAACAATCAGAATTCAAGACAAATTGTTTCTTTTTTCTAATTATTAGTATATGTTTATCGGATGGGGCCTAGTTTGTGATTGGAATGGAGAAAGGTAGGAACGGAACGAAGGAGGAATCGAATGCCGACCGCAGCTGGAATCGGCATTCGATGACAATGGTTGGAGGCAATGAACCTAAATCCAAAACCCAACCTTCCATGTCATAACAAAAATTCATCCTCAAACCAAACCCACCACCTCCACCTTCCTCTCAAAGTCCATTCTTTCCAGCGACCCAGGTACCAAAACCTTCCAAAGGTTCAAAATTTACCAGATGGGTCTCCCATTATCCAATCTTCTGAGGAAAAATATCAAAAGGGGGGATTGAGGAAAGGTGGTTGGCGGGAAAGAGAGAGAAAATGAGAAAACTGTGGAGGCGAAAGAGAAGCGGGGAACAGACAGGTGGATGGTGAATCAGAGTGCTAATTTTGTTATCAAATTTGCGTTTGAAAAGTTGGAAAAAGGGAAAGTTGGGAACTAACTAACGGAAACAAATCGTACATCTTAGCTATGCTGAGGTGAGAATCAGATGACTTTTATCTTTAAGTTGATGGAAAGACAAAATATCACGGATGAATTCTTTTTATTGTTAGATTAAAATAAGACAAAAGGGTTTAAAAAAAGAAAAACATCCAACAAAATGAGAAACAAAATGAGAAGGTAAGACATAACTTATTTCCAGCCTATTACAAGTGTAACAGAAACATAATCGAAAAGAGTAACAGAAAAATATGTCACAGCATATCAGAATGCAACAGAGAGAATGTAATGTTTTACTGCAGAGATTTAAGCTTAAGAACAATTCTAGACTGTAAATTAGTTAGTAAAAATGCTGCAAGATTTCTTCATTAGTTTCTTCAGAATGGTGAATTCTGAAAAGGTGCTTTAAGATTTCCATGTTGCAGAGAAGCTATATATCCCTTAAGATCTTTCTCACAAGAACTCTCTCAGAATGTTGCTTTGAACCATTTCCTTTAGTTTAGGCTGTAAGGAGTTGTTCACATTGGAAATTTCTAGTACAAAAATATGAATATATTGAGTAAGAGTCTTTTTTGAAAAAATTATTAAAATGATATCATTTTCTTTCTTTATGGAAATTGGATAAAATTTTTAAAAAAAGTCTTAGTCATATGATGTGATGGAAACACTACTTTCAAATAAAATAAATTGGTGTTTTTATACTTCTTGTTGAGTATTTACTTTGTGTTAAAAATTATGTTTGCATAGATGATTTTATTTATTTTTATACTTTTATGTTTGATTTTTTTTTTTTGTTTTTATAGAAAATACACTTACGATTTTGTATGGAATTTGTGTATGATTTCTAATTTTTATATTTTTATTATTTATTTTGATGGATAAGAAATTATCTTTAAAATTTTGATATAATATTATCTATTTTGGGCATGATTCTTTTAGGATATATGATGATATAAAATAAATAATTATTTTTTCAAATATATAAATACTCAATTTTATAATTTTTTGTAATTCCTATAGAAAAGCTGGTTTTTCACCCATTATTAGGTGATAACATAACATATTAATTGTTGCATTTTAAACTATTTCACTTAATGAAATAGTTGTTGCATTCATAAATTGGGAAATTTTGAAAAACTATCTATTATTTAATTTTTTATATTGTTGTAATTCATTAATTTTAGTTATTTTTGACATTTTAAATAAAATTTGATTTATCCAAATCTTTTGTTTTGTAATTTTAGAAAAGATTTGATAACCAATTAATAAAATATTTATACTGTTATCGCCAGTTGAGGTGTCGTGGTGTAGTTGGTTATCACGTCAGTCTAACACACTGAAGGTCTCCGGTTCGAGTCCGGGCGACGCCACTTTTGTTTTTTTTATTTTAGAATAATTTCTTTATAACATTTCCATTTTCACAATTCATTTATATGATTTCATTAAACTAATAAACAGGGAACAAGATCGGGGAGACAATAATTTAAAATTTAGAAAAATAGAATTTAAAATAAATAAACACAAAAACCTAAAAAGTTAATTATGTTCATAAAACAAAAAATAATAACTTTATTTTAGCATACTTATCAAAATAATTCGCCATTATATTCTGTATTTATATTCATTAGTAACTTTTTTAAAAATAAATAATAAATAGTTATACATTCACTTATATACGTTATGACATTATTTAGAGACACACATTAATGTTTTGAGAGATACAAATTAGTATCGAATAGTTTCACTGATTATGATTCATTGTAAGATAACTCGAAGGAATTTGCCTGATACAGTTACATAGCAAACGTGGTTTTGCTATATAAGAAATAAGAAATGAAAAGTAATTAAAAGGAACTATTTTTTTTATTCTTTTTAATATCCTTAGTATAGTTGGTATGTTTAACTAAAATAATATTATAATTAGTTTGATTATAATGGGACAGTTAGATATACATTAAAAATAGTANATTGATTGTGAGAGATTGGGTGGGGAAGGGAATTACCTTTATCATGCACATGCAAATCAGAGGTACTTCTGTCATCTGGCAAGATCACAGACAATATGTGAGTTACCATGCATGTACAAATTCCTAGTTTATGTTACATCAGTTTTCTCTTGTCAAGGATGGCGGTGGCCCTAATTCCTAGTTTATGTTACCACCAATGCGTATGCTCTTGTTCTTATTGTCTCATGGCTTGGAAGTTAGTTACTCTGCAATATTCTTGTTCTTGTTCTCCCTTGGTAGGAAGTTAGTTATTGGAAATTTGAGTACTCAAAGAATGGTCTGTAGACACTATATAAGGTTATTAAAATTCTACGTGTTAACCAATATATAATCTTAGCAAAAAGTTTAGATTATCCCGATAATCATTTGGCATTGGTCATTGGTTTTTGAGCTTCTTACTACTCTACTTCATCTTTTTAACACAGTTTTTCTCACTATTCATTAGATATAGTTTATTGTAAAGCTCAAGAAAACAATTGGTTATTATTACACCATTGTCTTTTCATTCCTATCTCCATGGCCCCACCCCACCATGTTCTAAACTTTGATAGATGTATACACAGTCCCAGCTCTTCCTAAATCATTATTTGCCTCTCTCAGTTGAGAAATACATTTATGCAGCTATATAATTTGCTTAAAAATGCCCTAGGTTTCTGTGCTTCTCATAATCTCCGTCTGCTGATAAGCATGATGATGGTCTGGCTTTGCTCCAAATTACTGGCCATAAAAATTCGTTTGGCGTCTTACTTGTGAACAGTTGGCCTTCTTCATTCTGGATGATATTTGGAGATACATTTTTATTTTTTAGAAATTAGAATGGAAACTGTTTCTGAAATTGTTAAAAGAAGTTGAATGGGGTTCTGGGAAGTGGAAAAGCTGCAGAGCAGGGAATTCTTATTTTCTTTGCTTCCTCTTGACCTAGAACTACATGTGCTTCCTCTTAATTGATGTGAATCTTGTACTGGATGTGCTTTTATTTTACTGTATTTGCAAGTATCATCTTTCAATATTCATTTTTAGTTCTTGCTTATGCTCTGTTTGATTCTAAAAGTAAGCCATTTCAAGTTTCACGGTGTCTTTTAAGGTGTAGTCATTCTTATAAAGTATAATATTAGTTTATTTGATAGTGCTTTCTCATAGAACCTAATGCTTATCTTCATCAAATATTTTTCTTACTGATAGGTTTGGAATGAACGTTCTATCACGTTTGTTTTGTCCTTTTGTTTTTTGGAGTGGAAGTTATGTCTTCTAATCAAACACATTAAACATAATATTTGGAAAACTCATTTTTTATCATTTATTACTTCTTGAAGTAATGAGCAGGTCATTGTCTTCTCTACTTTCAATCAAAATTGATTGGTTGTATCAGTCTATATATTAATATTGTTTATAAATTATTGCTAAATTAATGTTAAAAATAATTTAATATCTCTAAATGGCTTAATTGATTATGATGTGTCCATCAGGTAACATATCACTTTTTTCACTGGAAGAAAGGAACTCCATTTGCAGAGGACCAAGGCATCTACAATAGATTGACATGGTGGGAGCAGGTAGACAATGGAAAGCAGCTTACTCGTAACAGGAAGTTTCTAACAGTTGTTCCTTTGGTCCTGTAAGTTTTCTAATATGCAAGCCATAATTGGTATTTGCTTTCTGGTGATGTTATAGGATCTGTGAATGTGTTTGTGTGGTGCACTCATGGCTATGTAAATTTAAACAGTATTCCTTAAAATATTGTTTATACACTGATGTGAGCAAATGTATGTGTCATTCCTGTAATGTTATTCAAGCATTCACTTCTTGGTGTGCTAGAACTTGCAAATAAGTTTAATGCTTATGTAGAAACCATGAATAACAGTTTATCCAATTCATAGTTGCAAATAATATCAAATAGTGACACAATTGGCCATGCTATGCTACTAAAATTGAATAGCATCACTTTTTAAAGTATTCTCCGTGACAGTTGTGGTAGATGGCAAAATTGCAGAAAATCGTTGCTGGAATGTGTTATTGGACCTTGTAGCTTGAAAAAAAAAAAACTTTTTGAGACAGCATTGTTTAGGGCTGTATTGGGGACAATTATGGGTTTTGCCCATTTCTTTGAATCAGAACTGAAACACTACTTTGTCTGTCACATGCATGTTATGAAGTAGCACACCCACTGTTCTCCTTACCAACAAACTCCCACCACTATCCAACAACATTTCCAACATTTTCTGGTTAGCTGTGACAGCTGTTGGTCTTCCATAACCTCTGTAGTTTTGTGTCATCTCAGATCCCTACAGCCCTTTTCTGGCAAACCTGTCACTGGCTCTGGCAAACCATGACCTTCTGCCATAGTTCAGTTTTGTCTGTTTTTTAAATCTCTCTAAAGCAGGTTTATCGTCATGTCTTGTTATGTCTTCTAAGTCTTACCCATTATTCCTTTTTGTTCTAATTGGTTACAATGATAGCCATCACACTATCCTATTATAGCATGCTCAGGGTCAGCCACTCCACACTGTTTTTTGGGATTGGCCACTACAGTCCAATATATTAATTTTTTTTTTCAAAACATGTTTTCTTTGGTCGTAAGACTACTGATCAAATTAGACTGTCCCTTTTCACTCATTTTGTGTGTTGATTCTCTTCTGTGTACGAGAAGATGTCACTTAGCTGCAATGTAGCTTAATAAATTGAATGCCTCTGGAATTATGGTTGTTTGCTTAGAAGTTCATTATATTTGAAGGGTTATATCTGTATAATGAACGTTACATAACAATTGTTTTACAAGAAAAAGGAAAACAAGAATGTTTTTTGAGAAGAAAAGAAATATACATACATATATACATACATACATACATATATACATACATACATACATACATANTGGAAGAAAGGAACTCCATTTGCAGAGGACCAAGGCATCTACAATAGATTGACATGGTGGGAGCAGGTAGACAATGGAAAGCAGCTTACTCGTAACAGGAAGTTTCTAACAGTTGTTCCTTTGGTCCTGTAAGTTTTCTAATATGCAAGCCATAATTGGTATTTGCTTTCTGGTGATGTTATAGGATCTGTGAATGTGTTTGTGTGGTGCACTCATGGCTATGTAAATTTAAACAGTATTCCTTAAAATATTGTTTATACACTGATGTGAGCAAATGTATGTGTCATTCCTGTAATGTTATTCAAGCATTCACTTCTTGGTGTGCTAGAACTTGCAAATAAGTTTAATGCTTATGTAGAAACCATGAATAACAGTTTATCCAATTCATAGTTGCAAATAATATCAAATAGTGACACAATTGGCCATGCTATGCTACTAAAATTGAATAGCATCACTTTTTAAAGTATTCTCCGTGACAGTTGTGGTAGATGGCAAAATTGCAGAAAATCGTTGCTGGAATGTGTTATTGGACCTTGTAGCTTGAAAAAAAAAAAACTTTTTGAGACAGCATTGTTTAGGGCTGTATTGGGGACAATTATGGGTTTTGCCCATTTCTTTGAATCAGAACTGAAACACTACTTTGTCTGTCACATGCATGTTATGAAGTAGCACACCCACTGTTCTCCTTACCAACAAACTCCCACCACTATCCAACAACATTTCCAACATTTTCTGGTTAGCTGTGACAGCTGTTGGTCTTCCATAACCTCTGTAGTTTTGTGTCATCTCAGATCCCTACAGCCCTTTTCTGGCAAACCTGTCACTGGCTCTGGCAAACCATGACCTTCTGCCATAGTTCAGTTTTGTCTGTTTTTTAAATCTCTCTAAAGCAGGTTTATCGTCATGTCTTGTTATGTCTTCTAAGTCTTACCCATTATTCCTTTTTGTTCTAATTGGTTACAATGATAGCCATCACACTATCCTATTATAGCATGCTCAGGGTCAGCCACTCCACACTGTTTTTTGGGATTGGCCACTACAGTCCAATATATTAATTTTTTTTTTTCAAAACATGTTTTCTTTGGTCGTAAGACTACTGATCAAATTAGACTGTCCCTTTTCACTCATTTTGTGTGTTGATTCTCTTCTGTGTACGAGAAGATGTCACTTAGCTGCAATGTAGCTTAATAAATTGAATGCCTCTGGAATTATGGTTGTTTGCTTAGAAGTTCATTATATTTGAAGGGTTATATCTGTATAATGAACGTTACATAACAATTGTTTTACAAGAAAAAGGAAAACAAGAATGTTTTTTGAGAAGAAAAGAAATATACATACATATATACATACATACATACATATATACATACATACATACATACATATATACATACATACATATATATATATATATATATATAAAAGTAATGTAAAATGACTACTCATGAAAGTTTCTGCATAGCTCCATATCTATCAAATGGCTTTATATGTCATTGGACTGTGTCTGAAATCAAGATTTATTTCAGGAAGGGTAAGAATTTTATCAGTGTATAAAATCAATTGGATAGCTAATACTAAATGTCGATTCAATAGATAGTTTTTTTATGCTCTCTGTGTGTGCCCCTACAAATTGCTATTATAGACATCCAAGAGCTTTATTGGAAGTGTAGGATATAAATATTGGGTCAAATATAATTTAAGAAGCCAAAGAGCCTTCTCGAATGAGTACTAATGTTTGCTAAAAGAATTATATGAAACAAATATAAGTTAGCATAAGATCTGGAGATTTGTATTCTTCATGGTGTTTGGGGCTTGGCTTGATCTATTATCTGCCTTGAATTTGGGGTGAAGCTATTTTTGTCTTTATAACTGAAATTTCCAGGGGCTTACATGGCTTAGTTTTTCCTGAGAATTCTTTTGATAGAACAAATATTGTTTGGTCTAAAAAACATTTTGACTCCTCTGAAACAAAGGATTCATTTATTGCTACTATATATTTAATGTAAAATCAATGAAATAAATTTTGACATGATTTCTTACATATATCGATTTATTTTATCACAGTATCAGTAATTGGTTTTCCACTCAATGTTAAAACTGTACACATTTCTCTCTAAAGGTGCCCCCTACTTTGAGAAACAAAATCTTAATGAAAAACAAAATTACTTAAGAGGATAAGAAATCCACCTTAACAAAGCGCTGAAGAGAAATAAAGTAAAGAAATTTGAATACTTCAAAACAACCTTCTCAAAGATTCAGTGTAGTAAGCACCAGGGAGAGTCCAAATAGATGGTCATGTAAATTGGCAGATTTTTATTTTTCCCGAAGATATTCTTGAAAATGAAAGCATTTTTGGATTACAAAAGCATTGCACATAGACTTACTTTTTAGTGCCGCCAAAATCGATGAAGTTTATCATGACTGAATACTGATCCTGTTCAAGTACCCATTTGGTTCAGTTTATTTTGGAGAAATCATTTGGGGGTGGTTAATATAAATATTTTCCTAGAACTTTTCATTCCCAAACATTCACTAAAATGGTACAGCAATCGTGTTTTTCAACACTGAGAATTTCAACAGCTGAAGTTAATGCTTGTGGATATGATTTTGGCTTCAGCAATAGGATTGCATGTCTGTAGCTTTGATGTGATTCGGATTCTTGCAGAAACTGTCCTGAGCATTGAGGAAAAATCTACTGCACAGGTGTAAAAGTCGCAGTGTTGCATGTTACTAAATGTTAGTTTTTATCAACAACATAAGCTTTGTACTGCAAATGTGAGGATGTTATAGAGGAGGAGCAGAAAATCATAAGATGGCACCTGTTGAAAATATGGTAGTATCTTATCTAAGGATGTTTGACCCTGAGAAAGAAAAAAACCAAGTGGGGGAAATAGTGCTAACATCTATTGAGGTTAATATGGTTGAGTATCACCTTAGGTTGATTTAAATGGACTTGCTGAGGTTTTAGTTCTTGACATAACACAATGGTTTTGTAGTATTCCATGGCTGACCCTACTTAGTGGGGAATTGTCTAATTTGAAAGGTTGTCTAATTTGAGAGGTTAGATAAAAGTAAACTCACAAACTAGTTGTAGTTCATATTCTTTTAAAGATTATTTAAAAACATGAATGAAAATAAAACCTGGCATAATTAAATAACATACGCATTATTAATATTCACATTTATGAATTTGAACAAAATAAAAGCTTTATTATCTTTTATACCTTTGAAGATGAAGATCAGTAATAGTTGATATTATGAAGTAAATTTCTATGACCTAGTTAGAATTTTAAAAGTGAATAGTTCTTTACTGTATTGTTTGTCATTGTCAGGTACTTGATAGCCTCCCACACAACCGACTATCAGAATCCAATGCTGTTCTTCAATACTGTTGCTGTGATTGTGCTGGTTGTTGCAAAGTTCCCCCACATGCACAAGGTGAGGATTTTTGGAATCAATGCTGATAAGTGAAATGTTGAAAACCTGGTCACCTGCTCAAGAGCCTCTTGTCCTTTTGTTCTGGAAAAAGGTCACACCTTTGTATAGAAGGCAGAAGTGGAAGGATACTCAAGTAATGTTTTGTTGCCAACTGCTTTTTAAGCTGCTTCTAAAGTATTATTAAACAAATAAATATGTTGAGTTATTTCTGTACAGTAGAGAAGTATATGTATCGAATTATAACGGTGCTTTTAAAATGTACCTTTCTTTTCTTGCCTTTTTCCTTTTATTCATGCCTCCGAACTGAGATATACAAGAATCATCCTTTGCATTGGTATCCAAGTTTATTGGTATAACCTTCTCTTTTCAAAATAAAGGTCTTTGTCATCATGAGCATAAGTGGAATACTTACCTTAGACGTCATCTGAAATTTGACAAGTCAAATGCTGAGTTTTGGCCACAAAAAGAAAGTAAAGACATTCTCGTATGAGAGAAAAGTTTAATGAATGATCTTGTGGAAATTTGAAAACCCATGTCACACTATGTTGAAAACTCAAAGCATGTTTTTGTTTTTACGCAAAAGCTGAATACTTTTATATGTTTGTGCTTTCTTACTCTAAATTCCCCTTTATAATAATTAATATTTTTATCATAGATTAACAAGTCAATTTGACTTCTGTTATGAAAAGTAATAATGTACAGATTGTTATAAAAACAAAAATAAAATATTGTTTTCTTATACAATTCTTATATTATATTCTCCTTTTCTTCCCTTCCTTTTTTCAATTTTACCTTATCATTTTTAAGAGAATTAAGAGGCTAAATTTTATGAGGAATAAAATAAATGTCTCACATAAGAAATGTATTTAATGTCTCAAATCATGTGTTTGTTAATGTCTATTAAGAATTTAATGTACATTTTACTTTTAAATTTGGTTTTTAAGGAATATAATGACAAGTTAATCTTTTGTTAATTAATTGGAACAACCTTTATTCTCTTATTAATGAGACTATGGCTACTAATTTATCTATACGTGATCCTCAATAACAAGACATTAACAAAATACAATAGTTTCCTTAAAGTCAGTTTTGTTTTATCACTATAAAGTAGATATTTAAGAAGTATTATTGCCATGTTTTAGTATTTTCTAAAACTGGAAAACATGTATTTTTTGTATTTAAATTTTTTACTCACATTTATAATTTTTTATGGATATAGAGAATATTTTCTAGTTTTGTACAATATTCCCTTTAAGCAAATATGTTTCTCTTGGTTTTGATTACTTTTTCACAAAATAGAAAACAACACAACATTAAATGATATATTTTTATGGATTTATAATACACATTAGTTCACCTTTTTTAGTCCTCTTATTCTTTCCAATGAAGTCTTAAATCCTTTAAAATTATAATAAAATTCAAAATTACCTTACGATTTTTAATTAATAAAATCTATCAGGTTCTTCACCATTGTTTTATTTTATAGTAAATTAATTTTTTAAAACTTTTTAGATTTTACAAGAATTAAATTTAATTTTATACCATTAATTTCATAACTTATCATTCCGATTCTCATATCATACTTTATGAATGTGGTGCCAATATTATCTCTAATCTAAATATTTGAATACTCTCCTTATTTTCTCATCAAAACATGTCTTTTATAATGGCAGCAGATAATCTCAACAAAGTATATAGTATTTTAGCAAAAATTGCCTTTGTGAGATTTTTGCTAAAATATAATAAACTTTATTCACATGTTTTTTTAACATGCTTTGGTACATTTTACAAACAAATTGCTGTGTTAATTATGTTACTATAATTAATAGTTGTTTTTCAATTTATATACTTTATAAAATATTTGAGTGAGAATTTACTAAAAAAATAAAAGTTACATATAATAATCTTAAATTCATAGTAAATTTTGGTAAGTATAAATTGAAATTTATTAATATTTAATTATTTCTTGTTACATCCTTTACTTACTTCAGCCGACAAATAAAATATCCTTTATTTACTTTCTACCGTTCTTTTGCATTCATTATTTTCTTACATTATTTGCATTTGTGTGTTGAAGGAAGTTTATTCCATTATTTCCTGAACATGTAAAGAAAATATACTTAAAAATTTAAATGCTTATATATCAACTTTATTAGAAGCTTCAATACTCTTTTTTGTTTAAATAACTTTAAGAGAAATGCACCATCTTTATAAATATTTTTAAATGATATTCAATTTTTATTTTCAAATATATACATATATATTTATATTTTTAAGAAAGCAGCAATTTATTTTATTTAATAAAAGTGGCACAAGCATCCATTCTTTATACGTATCAAATGTTATATGTTTAGAGAACTTTTTATTCCTTTATTTTTTATTTTATTTTTAATTTAAGATCAGTTTAATTTTATTAAACCTTATAACTTATTGATAAGAAACAGGAAAATATGTTATATATATTTCTTTATCAGTATAAAAAGCCTTAAAAACATTAAAAAAATGAAAATAAACCAAGTTTTATAAACAATATATCTGATACATTTTTGAATCGAATATTTTGAAAGTTAAACATGGTCATTTCAGTCAACGAAAAATAGCATGCATGATTTAGATAAGGATAGTGTTTGTATAATTGAAAGGACATGAGAATAGAGGGAACCAGAGAAGGAGACTTTTACGTAGCTGAAACTGTTATTTTAATTGACGAATTTGAAGAGACGAACAGCGAAAAGAGAAGATTTTGAATTCGAAAGATGAATCTATGCCCTGAGAAGATCGAAAGGGAATAACAATAATTAAGAGATTGGAGTAAAGAGGAAAGGTATTGTGTCCCCGAATGGAGATGACTGAAAGTGAAAGAAAAAAAAAAACACAACAGAACAACATAAATGAACATTAGCTGTTGTTAATGAATAATAATAGTGGAGATGTGAAGGCAATGCATTGACCTAGCCAGTGGAAGAAACAGTTTCCACTTGCCCTAAGGGAATGTTTGAGGACCCCACAAAAATACCGAAGGAAGTTGTGCTTTTGAGAAAAAATTCTAAGTCATTGGAAATACTATAATTAACAGCAGGTGGATGGATGACATAGGGCACACTGATGAAGTTAAATAATGAATGCAAGTGGATGACAATTATATATAATATGTTATTAGGTTAGTAGTATATTTAGTTGGGGCAGGTAATCCAATTTTCAAGATTTGTCCAATTATATTATATGCTCATGCTAATATGCTAATAGTATTATTATTACATTGTTTTATTAATCCTAGCTTGCATTAAAAGTGGGTGTGACATTAATTCCTGAATCAGCTAAAACACTGAGATCATACAACACTCCCTTGTCCTTCCTTTTCTGATTTCTTTTACTATAATTCCTCCGAATAATTCCACCAAAGTGCTTTCATAGTTGGAAGAATCTCAGATGTGATAATGAAGACAACAAAGCTGACAACCCACTAATTTTTGCACACACAGAGATAGAAAGAGTAGCTGGAAAGACCACAAAGCAACTCAACCAAATTTATAATTATGGTTACACTTACAAACTTGGAACACCTAACTCTCTTTCTCTTTCCTTCATCACCCCAAAACTCCTTTCAACCAAACATTTCAAAAACCATACGTACAATGAACAACATCTGCTTCATTCCCACACAAGAATTCAATCAATACAGGAATTGCATGTTCATCTCTTCTTCTTCTTCTTCTATGTCTATATATATAATATGTAAATTAAAAGCAATAATCGAGATGAGAACTCTCACATAAACAAAAGGAGGTGTGTAGTAATAATAATTAACCTTGTGTGTCCTATTGTTAGTTCTGAACAACTTCAGGCCAACGATATCCATATTGTGGAAAGAGAAGATCAAAATAAAGATATTATATAAATATAGTATGTTAATTATTAATGCATGTTCTCTTGATTTTTTGTTTCTTTTTCCTTTTTCCTCCCAATTTTTCTTTCTTACCATGTCCCTTCACCAATCATTCCAGTCCAATATCCAGTTGAGTTTCCTTGTTGATGCTGTTGCTGTTGTTCTTTACCGTGTTCCACTTCAGCTGATCCTGCAGCAGAAAGCTGCTTATTGACATCTCCAAAAGGGAACAAAACTCTGCCACCCCTCTCTTGGACCTGATGATCGTATGATCTATTTCCCATCCCATCAACTGAGGAAAAGCTGAGGCTTGGTTTGACTTCTTGCATGGGAAACCCTGATGGGTAAAGGGCATTGTTGTTTGCTGAGTTTGGCATCAAGGAAGAAGGAGCATAAGGGTTCAAACCCCTAGATGCCATGCTGGACCTTAGCAGCTCAAGAGCCGAAAGAGAGGTTGGAGCAGCAGAACAAGAAGGAGAGTTTTGGTGATGATGAGTGGTGCTGTCACTGTTTTGCATCTCGACATAAGGGGAGATGCCATGATGATGATGATACTTGTCCATGGCTGGGAAAGCCAGGTTGAGATCCTGGCCACCATGTAATATTTTAGGGTTTTGTGAAGAGAGAGCTGAGAGGTTTGGGGGATTTAGGTCAGGAATCTTTGATGATGACGATGAAGATGATGAAGCCGAGGCTCCTGCTCCTCCTGAAGTGACCTTCTTGTTCTTTCTTGAACCACCTCCAACCGGAACGTTTCTCAGAGACCCTCCTTCTGTCCAATACCTTCTACAAGTCTTACAGAAGTATCTTGGCTGTGTGAGGCTGTAGTTGTTGTAATAACAGAACTTTGTGTTAGTTGAATTGCACCTTGGACAATTCAGTTGCTCTTGTGGTCTTGCTTTCTTCTCTAAACCTGGCCTTGCACATGAATTTGGAGCCATCCCCTCCATGACTCTCACAACTCCAATAAACCCCAGAAGAGACAGAACGAACACCTACAGTTACAAGTGCTCATATGTGACAACAATCTACACTCCACAGCCACAAAAACTCAGCTTTACCCAACCAAATAAAACTACATGGTTCAGAGATTTGAAGTTTACACAGAAGAATTTTGAAGATATATAGTCAACAAGAAAATCAAAGACATAGTACTAAGATAAATACAAAGTTTTAGAAAATGTAAAGGAATCAATAATCAATACTTTTATAAATTTTTGTTTGGTTTAACAAATGATCGCACACGAGAGCAAAAAGGAAAAGGAAAGGAAAAGAAAAAGCAGTGCTTTTGTTTATGGGATTTGATGAAAAACTTGGTTTGGTAGAAAAAGATAGAAGGTGGAATGTGTAGCAAGAATCGTCTGGTATATATATATTTATATATATCTTGGTAGAAAATGAATTAAATGAAAGATAGAAACAAGTATGAAATCTAGTGGAAGTTGATATTTTGTGTCAGCTTTTGAAGAAGGCGAAACCCAGAATAAATAACTGAGTATTGTGGTTGAGAGAAAAGACATGATAGAGCCATGAAATTGAAAGAAAAGCAAAGGGTGATTTGAGAGAGAGATAGAAAGAAATTCACCTTGTTTGTCTGGAACTGCTCCTTAGTGCAAGAAAGAATGTTTTGGTTGGTTTGTGGGGTGGCTTTATGCGTAGGCTTACTTTATGAATGCAACAAAGGAAAAGGAGAAAGCGAGAAGAGATAACACAAGTGTTTTCTTTCGTTTGACTACACTATCAATATCTCTCTTCACCAATCATCCATCTTTTAGCC